ACAAGGGCAGGCGCTGACCTCCAAAAAAAAAGTAGTAATTGTATTGGAATACAAGAGTTTTTTCTATTCCAAATCCGGATAGAAAGGGTACACGTTGTATTTGAATACAACGTGTACAATTTCTATTCGAGGTACTCGGCTATTCGAGAAAAGTGCACCCACACCATTTCAATTTTGAAAAAGGCTTAAGGACCATGGTCTCCTAGGCCTCCTACGGGCAGCTACCGGTCCTACGCGGTCCTGGCCCTTGCAAGGCCCAAAAACCTCAAAATGCCCACCCTCCCAACGACCACGACGTTGAAATTTGATTGATGTTGAAATGTCTCAGGGGGGGAAAACGCAACCCTGACGGGCTGCGAACAGTCACTGCCTGCAGCTGCCAGTGCATGCTGCTGTGGCTCTTGGGGCCTCGTTAGCCCCTCCTTGGAAAATCCTCAGGAATTAGGATGAAGTCCTTGGAAAATTTTCCGGTTTTCGGCGTCTTCGTTACACCGCGTCCTAATTCAATGGGTTTCAAGGAAAACCCTTGGAGGTCTCCAGCGGCCAATTTCATACGCATACACGCGGCCGCGGGGGTGGATGTCCATCATCGTGCTGGGATGTCCGTGCGTCCTCGGGCATGGTCCAGTGGCTGTGGCGGGGAGGCCTACCGGCCTGGCGAAGAAAAAGGGCGCCAACATCCCCGTTCCAATTTCAAATTTTGAACTGTCTGTTGTGACACACCCATGCGTGAGGCGTTCTGCCGGCTGGACAGGAGTCTGGGGTGAAATGTCTGTGCGGAGGAGTGATGGCGGCCATGGCTTAAAAGGAGGGCATTGGAACGTTCGGGGACGTAGCATGTATGTGACGTTGCTTTCGTGTTCTGCATACTCTTCGGGCCGTCACAGCTTAGCGCGAACGTAACGCTCCCATGAAACGTGGAAAGTGCGAGCGCGGTCCCCATCGACGTGCAGAAGGTGCAGCGAGGGCGCCGACAGGCGAACGAATGGTGACATTGGTGGGCGCTTGCGCATTGCAAGTCCCGACGATGGAACGAGAACTCCCGGGAGGTGTGAAGGCATTAACGACATTGGAGAGAAACACGGTGGTCGTAGCTGTGTCAGTCATCGCCATGCGTTATCACATTGAGAAAACGACAACTCGCCTGAGGATGAGATTGTTCGTGCGCAGGCGGAGGCAATTGATGCAACAAGTGATGGATGCACCGGATTGTGTGTCGTTATCGGAAATCCATTGTGCGATTTTGTTGTGCCATGGCATCGGGTGTGATCCCGCGGGTGACGCCGAGATGGTGGATGAGGAGAAGGATGGGAGGGACATGGGAGGATCTCCGACAGGTTGACAATGCGGCGGAGGGCTACTACAAGGAGAAACTGCAGAGTGGAGTAGTCAATGACCCCCGTCGGCTGTCTGCTAGAGGTTTCCCGCTTATCCATCATCGTCTTCCTCACCATTCATCGTTTCTGCCTGCTGCCAGAACCCCGCACAACGACGCACACGTGGAACAACACGGCAAGGAGCAGGAGAAGAGTGGCCAGCAGCACGAGCGGGAACCGTCGGAGGACGTCTGCTATGAATCGCAGCATGCGAGACGTGTACCAAACAAAGCTTGCATCAATGCGCCCGACAATAGCCAACAAAACACGCTAGGCAGATGCCTACAAGGCTACAATCGACCAACAGTGCTTCAACATCGCTTGTAGACAAATAAAAAAAAATCGACCGTTGGACACCACGGTCGGCGACGCGTGCATGGAAAACCCTGCTTCGTAAAGCACCTTGCAACTGAAGAACCAACCACGCGCATTTTCACGCCAACGGTAATGGTGGAAGGCCGTTGGGGGTTCGTCGGTACCAGAGGCCGGCGATGTCCGCCCAATGGACGACGGACGACATGTGCACCAACATCGATTCCAAATTTTCCTGTCGGCGCTCGCTCCATAACACTCCGTCAATCGCGGCTCCTTGAACCCAAGGGACCTCACGAGGACCCCTTGAATCCAAGGACGTTTTGGCTGGGGATCCTCAGGAATCCAAGGAAATCTCTCGGGAACGTTTTCACATTCATTCAAGGAATTTGGTGAATTGGGACGCGGTGTAACGACGTCGATTTTCTAAAAATCGGATTTCAACATAGGGTCTAACGAGGCCCTTGGTGTCCAGGCGAAAAGGGCTTTCCATCCGACCCTTTTTGCCTTGGAGGCCCTTTTTTGGTTGGATGATTGTGCCCCGACACAACCCCCCTGTACTTCCGGAAAAGTGCAACAGCATGCATATGGCCACTCTGAAAAAATGTGTGGGAAACGTACACTTGCTTTTTCTGGCTGGCAGTGCCAGCCATTTTGGTCCCGCGGCCCCGAAATCCCGAATCTGTGGTGGTTCAAACCACCAGTTCAGCCAACTCTGACGTAATTGTCTACCGCATGGGTGGGGGGACTGCAGCCCTAAGGTAGCTGAAGCCATGGGACTAGTAAGCACACACACGCGCGCGCGCGCGCGCGCGCGAGAGAGAGAGAGAGAGAGAGAGAGAGAGAGAGAGAGAGAGAGAGAGAGAGAGAGAG